CATTTTCCTATAATTAATGGAGAATTAGAAAAAACTCTAGTATCCATATCCATATGGTTGTCAAGTGGTTAAAAAGTTACTCTTAATAAATGGAAGAAGTGTCTTTATTCTTATTATTATTATTATTATTATTATTATTATTATTAACTATCATTGTCGTTATTATAGAAAAATTAGCTACTTGGTAATACTTTAAATTTTTTATCTTAAATTAAGATTTTTAAGTTCATAAATAGTAACTTTGTAAGTCTTTATTGGTAACTAATTTTATTGTATAAATTACCATCTAATATGCTATAAAAATTCTAAGATGAATTTTAGAATTTCCCAAATCCCTCCAATAAAGTCTATTTGGCTTTATTTAATTTGTGTCTTTCTAAATAAATTAAAATTCCGTTTTGTATTGGGTCTCACGGCAATTTTTTTTTTGCACAGTATGTCATTATTAAGTTATTATAATTAAATTAATTTTAATTAATTTTATATAATTTAGTAATCATATCCATGGACTTGGTGACGGTGACAGTAGGGTTTAATGGAAATTTTGATTTTCTCTCTCCATGTGAGAGTTTTTTTTTTTTCCACCATCGCCATGATTTGGTGGCTGCGTTTCCTTTTATTATTACCTTTTGCTTTTGCTTTTTGTTTTACGATTCCTTCCTGATGAGGGGCGACGCTTGTTTCTCGTTTGTCTTATGTATAGGTGGTGGTGCTGTCTAATTGACATCTATTTTTTGCTTTGGCTGGGGAAGGTCATTGTAGGTCCATTGATTTGGTTGTAGTTTATTTCAACCAGTTCAAGCCTAGCTAGCACCATCACCACATTGTCGCCCTTTCAAACCAAAGCAAAACTCAACAAGAAAATCAAGAGACTCTAGGCAAAGATCCCAAAAAAGGAAGATAAAAGAACTCCCCCAAAGGAAAGAAAAATTCTGAACTTTATTCATTTTCTCTAACCGCTAAAGGGGAGAGAGGCATTGGCTAGGGAGGAAATGGAGGCAAGGAAGAAGGAAGAGTATTTGGGAGAGAAAAGGAGGAGGGGCAACATCTAGGTTTAGATTAAAAACAGGTTTAAAGTATGCAAGTTTGTGTTCTACCTAAAAAGATGAAAAAAAATTGGACCATAAACATTACGTCTTGAGAATAAAAATCATGTAAACGACAATTTTTTGGGTGATTAAAGTTTGGATATTATATATGAGACTGCAAAATATTAAAATCACAAGGATTATGATGAAAAATAAATAAACATCTTTAATAATTAACATGCAAGGAAAAATCATTGAAAATATTTTAATAATTTCACATAAAATTTTAATATTTTAAAATTATTAAGACATCATAATTTTTACTTTTCTCTTTCCTCCCCTAGTTAGTTTTAGGGAAATGCGTTATTTTTTATTTTGATGGATTTAAAATCAAATGTGAATGGGAATATGCTTGGCTTACTTTTAGTGATGTTGATATGATCTTCATAAATTCCTAAATATTGTGTTTGAATATATTTCCTTTTATATTGGAAGCCAAATTAATTGTTTGATTACTTATTCAATATATTTCTTTTTATGGTGAACTAACAAAAATAGAAATTACATGTTTAGGTAGAGGTTCCAACCCCTAACAACAAGGTTCAAAACCCCTAATGATTTTGCTTTTTGGGCAAACTTGTGGGAGATTCTTCAGGTTCCAACCCCCAAAAATCAAGGTGAGAACCATGAGACTTATTGTCTAATAAAGAACCAAGAAGAGGTTCCAACCTTTGGAGGCAAGTTCCAACCCCTTATGTTGAAAACTTTAAATAATTTACCATACTTGGATTATATTCTTTCCAATCATTTTCCAACGGTCATAATCCTTTGATTGAGCAATTTTAAGGCATAAATATCAGACCTTGAAGCAAAGAAGAAAAAACAAGAAGAAGAGCTTTCAACCTTAAAAACTAAGAGAGATTGAGCTTCCATTTTTGTTCTTTGAGAAATCAACTCTTTTATACTTGTTCTTGTTCTCTTTCATTGTAACAAGTGAGAGATTGAGAAACCTTGTTAGGTCTAGAAATCCATTTCTGAGGTATAGGAAGGATTAAGAGATTTGTAATAAAGGGATTGAATAATTCAATAGCACTCGTAAGTTATTGGGAAAGTGATTGGGTAACTTTATTAGATCTAGAGAAAACCAATCTTATGATATAAGATTGGGTTTATGAGAGATTGTAACAAGGGGTTGAATTGTTGAGGGTGGATAATGCCGATAAAACTATTGCAAAAGGTTTCCTCTACACCCAAAAAAAATAAAAATAAAAAATAAGTTCATATAATTAAACTTTAACAAGTCAATTACTAAGAAAGTCATCTTTTAGTAAATATGTATACATACTTATATTTCTTATTAATTGCTCCCACTACTTCAAGTTAATACATACAATAATCATCTTTGAGTAGAATATTGCATACACTAATATGAAAGTGGTAATTGTATTCCTTAACTTTAATAATTCATATACGATCTTCCCTATAGACCAACTAATTTAATGATATAGTAGTTTAATAAAATCAATGCGAATAAAACTTTATTAAACCTTAGAAGTTTCCATTACAAGTGAATTAATAAGAATAATGTAATACCCCAAAATTTCTAGAATATTAAAGTTGAGTTGGGGACTAATTTGTGAGGAAATATTATTAATGGTCTTAATAATAGAAAACTCCAAAGTTGAGGGACTAAAAAGAAAAGAAATTAGGATAAGGATCAGCTGCCTTCCTTTTTCTTTTTTTTTTCTTTCTTTTCTTCCTTATCCGCGCGTCCTGCTCTTCTTCTTCTCCCCTGCAGCCGACCGAAGCTCCCCTAAGCCACCGACTTCCTCTTCCTTTGAAAACCGGTAAAAAGGCTTGAAATTTCTCCTTCTTTCTTGTTCAATCACAAGATTCGGGGCTTAGAATTCTCTCCCTCAACCCAGAAAAAAATCCCGGTTCTGCTCTGCTCTTCCTCCCCTGTCCGTCGGGTTCTGTTGGGTGTGAATCCTTCTGCTTTTTCTGGTAAGCCACAGCGAAGAAATCATCTCCTTAGCCTTGATTTAACTTGGGTTACTCTAATTTTTGGTTGTGGTTCTTGAATTTTGGGTTAATCCCGTGAGTTCCCTGTAGATTTGCTGCCGGCCTTCCCCCAAACCCGCCAGCTCCGGCCTTGCTTATTGAATTCCAGTATGGACAGCTCCTCCAAGTCGAATTTATCAATTAATTGCTGCTTGTATTGTTGAATTTAAATCATCTAGTTGCTGTCCCTGCACTGTCCTAATCCTTCTGCTGTAAATGGGAGAATTTCGGCAGCATTAAGTTATGTTTTAAGCTTGGTTTAGGTAGAGGAATTAGCTTGATTGCTGCTGTGAGGTTTTATATGAAAATCCCGTGAGATTAGTTATTGTTTTGCCAATTTTGGAAGTTGAAGTTACTGTTCACACACCGGGCCAACAATTAACGGGGATTTAGATGTCTAGTTTGTAATATAAGAACAAATTTGGAGATGTCTGGTCATGTGGAGACTGATAGAAATAATATCGTGATTAGGGGTAGTGCTAATGATGATTTCACTGTGAATTTGTGGTAGTGCGGTATTAATTCTTGGAATATTGTGATTAGGTTTTAATCGTTCTGCCACCGTAGCACTTGGGTTAAGCCTTCTGTTCTGTGCGAGTGAGGTAAGTAAATTTATAGTAAAGCCCTTTAATTTTAAAGCATATTTTAAACTGTTTTTGAGATAGTGGCAAGGTTTAAATTGATTTTATTAGCATCTGAGTGTGATTCAACTAAAATGAAAATTTTGATGATTTTTGTGATAATTATTATTTTTTGGAATTGAGCATGATTGAAATGAAAATGAGAATTTCATTGTTTTTCTGGAGTAGAGCATGCCTATTTGGAATTGATTGAACTGGCTTGATGAACTGAGAATTTTGTAAATGCTGAGTTTTTCTGTTAAATCCACGCTCACATGGAAATTTTTCGGTTATTTATGAAATTTGAGATTGATTGTGAATTACGGATTTTTTTGTAAATCTGCATGGTTTTGTCTCTAATATAGTCATGATTACTGACGCCTACCAGTGGGAGTTTGTAAACGTTGGCACAGTTCAACATATTTACTGATATGACCGGTCCATTCTGTAATCCTGCCAATGGAATAATATATTGGTAATTACTGACACCTGCCAGTGGGAGTTTGTTAAACACTGGTACCATTACTGACGCTTGCCAGTGGGAGTTTGTTAAACACTGGTACTTCTGTAACCTTGCCAATGGGGTTAAACATTAGTTATTTCTGACGCCTGCCAGTGGGAGTTGTTAAACACTGGTACTACTACTTTGCCCGCCAGTGGGAGGTTTATAAACGCTGGCCATAACCTATAGATGAGACTACTACTGAATCCGAGCCTTGTGCACTTGTGGGACCCGTCTCACGAGTGCACGGCGTCTGCTACATCCTCGGATTTGGGTTCTGGGGCGTGACAAATAATCTCACAAAAAATAATCCCCTTTAAGTAGAAAATTCTCTATTAAACTAAAATAAAAACCCTTACTAATCACACCTATTTTAGTCAATATGCACAGTCACCTTTTTTGGACATGCAATCAAACACTAATTTCAAGAAGCAAATATTTCAAAATCCTTATTAAGAAATATGTGAATTTTATAAATAGCCCACTTAAGCAGTACCACTCACATCAATTCACAAACTCCCACTAGAACACTTACCTAATATAACATTCCAAAATCCATATTGAGAAACATATGAATCTCAATAAATAGTCTACTTTGGTAGTACCCTACATATGAGCTCACAAGCTCCCACTGGAATAATTACTCATAAATAATTAACATCCCAGAATCCTTATTAGAAGATTAACTAATCTCTTATTGGAACAAAATTTCTTGATATCTCAAAGATATTTAGTGACAAAAGTCATTAATCCTAATAAATAAACTCTTGATATTCACATTAATCATCAAACATTATTAAGACTTTCATCCATATATATATATGGTTCTATAATCCCTCTCAATCATATCTTTTATAATTTTTAATAATGGTAATTTTTTTATATATGAATTGAGATAATCTTAAAACTTTTGAAAAGTCTTTCAATGCTAGTTAGTTCCTTTATTTAATACTCAAAGAAAATCATATGAAATCCCATCAATATCTTAAATAAACCAAGATACACAAATTCTAAAATTCTTAAAATTTTATCAAATATTTTTTTTCTTGTGATTTTTAAAAATTTCATACCCTGCCACAATTGGATTATTACCAATATGGATAATAGACATGTATAATTATTCCTTAAAGATAATTAATTACCAACAAAATCTATTATATAACCAACAATTTAACCTTAAATTATATGTCATAAGTTATGCCCAAACTTTAATTCCACAAAAACTCTTTAGAGATTTAAAATTTGAGTAGTCAAACTATGGAATTCATATGTTAAAACCAACATATGAACACAAGTAATTTTATCTTGAATGAAATACCAACATGTGTAAAATCATAGTCAATTATCTTATATTATTGTAATTTGCCTTGATACAATTTGACAAATCATTAAAACTATAATTCTCATCAATTTTTAGTGCATTTTTAATATATATTCTTTGAAAATCTTCTTAACTTCCATAGAGTTAGTAAAAAATAGCAATTATGCTTTCTCTAAATGCATAATTAATTTTATAAATAGTTTATTGGCAACTACAATTATGTACTTTACATCCAAATATGGACACTTTATATGCTTATTAGAAACATAATACCACAAAACCCATATGTTAAACCATATATGAAGATAAATAATTGTTCGTGAGAATTAAAATTTCTCAATTATCTACTCATTTATTCATGACCATAAATTTCTTTATTAATCACTACTAAAATTCTCACTTTTAGCAACTACTTATCAATAATATGGGTGTCTTTGTCAATGATATAGATTTTCACTAACAAGAACTATGTTGCTGAAAGTTATATAGTATATTTTCTCACCTAAAAGTGAGCTCCACATTCAGCAACATACCCAACAACATTTCAATAACAAGCAGTATGTTGTTGTAATTTTTCGATCACTATACAGTGCATATTCTCACTTAAAAGTGAGCTTCACTTTTAGCAATAAGGGATATGTTGTTGAAATTCATTTCAGCAACAAGGGACATGTTGCTATAATTTTCCACCCACCTAAGGCATTAGGAACATATACCATGTTGCTGATGTTAGACATTACCAACAAAATCCATGTTGCTATTATTCCTATATTTTTAGCAACCAAAAATCAGTAACAAGGAATATGTTGCTGACATTGCCACTTTGACCAACCGTTGGCCAAGGCCATTATATATACACCTTTCTCCGGCCATTATATATAACCTTTAACAGTTTTTAATTTTGTGCTATTTATTCTTTTTATATTAATTAATCACCATCAACACCTTTTCTTTTCTTCATTTATGGGTGGCATAGGTAATCATTTTCTAAGCAACTTCTCTTTAAAAAAAAAAATTAAAATTAATGATCTATTTATATAAATTTTATATAATATATTTATATACAATTTTTATTTTTTACCTTTTATTTTTCATAATTGAAATTTATTTACATTTATTAAAAATAATTTTTTTTTATCTAAAATATTTTATCTAGAGAGTTGAGAAGTTCTGGGCATAGGGTAACGTCAACTCTCCATGTGAAGAGTTGACTCTTAATGAGAAAGATTTGATTTTCATTTTTAATAGTTGACTCTTAAGCAAAAAAATATTTTATATTTCTATAGGAAATACTTCTATAAACTCAAAAGTATATCCACAAATTTTTTTTAGATAAATTAGAGATTTAAATAATTTAAATAAAGAGTGAATAGCATAATTATATTAATTAATGTGTTAAGTGTTAAGTGTTAAGTAATATTTACTAAAGTTACAAAAATAACTAATAAATTAAATTTTAGAGATAAAAATGAATTTTTTTTTTTTTTTTAAGTATAAGAATCACACAATTGGTGGGAAGGGTAATTTGAATTTTTAGCAATACGGTACACATCAATGATGAGTTATGTTATTTCAAATTCAACCAAGTTTTAGCAACATAAAATATGTTGTTGATTGGGGGGGGGAGGGGAGGGAACCTTTTAGCAACATGGTAGATGATGCTAAAGGCTTTATATATACTCCCAACCCAACTGAGTTGAGCAATGCTTTCATTTCTCCTTTCATTCTCTCCTACATGATATGCTCTTAGCCTCTTCCATTTCCCAGCTTTTTTTTTTTTCACTTTTTCACAAATCATCCATATTTCACTCATTTTTTATTTATTAATTATCTATCAAGTATCATTTATTTATTATCTTTTATCATAAAATTCTTGAACATATATCAGTAATTAAATTAATTTTCATCAACTTCTTCTGTCTCTTAAGGCATAAATTGTGATTTTATTGTATATATTAAATATTTTTATAAACATTAAGTGATTAAATATATTTCAATTTATTTGAGACTTAATAAAATTATAAATAACTATACATATAATAATTATTAACTTCGGTAGTTTGTTTGTTTGTTTTGTAGGTAAAAGTTATTACCAACAAAAATTCAAGTTTAGTAAGCTCCCTAAACAGATATTAATTCCCTTGAGATGTTTATTTTAAATGTATTTAATTAGCTAAAACTTTAGATATAGATGGTAAAAATAAATATTAATTCAGTTATCATTTTTTTGTATAATTTATTATATTATGAGTGAGATATCATGAAATTTATTATTTAGTGATTATAATTATAAAAAGTAAATTTTATAATTAAATAATACATTATTGTTAAATTTTATAATGATAGGCTGAAAAAAATTTAATTAAACTTTTTTAAATGTTAATGTAACTAAGAAATATGTATTCATAATATTGGTAAAGAAAATTTGTGAATTCATTTTTTTTTTTAAAGTAAAACCCTTTTCAGCAACATACCACTTGTCAGTAAAACAATTCAAAAAATGGCATCTTTGAGCATCTCTGACGTGGAACATCTTGCTAATTGGTAGGAGGCATGCTTGCTTGTATTATTTATAAGATAATCAGCAACAAGGGACATGTTACTGAAAGTTCAGAAGATAATCAGCAACAAGTCCCTTGTTGCTAAAAATAGGATGCTCACTATTCACAGAATAATTAGTAACAAGAGATATGTTACTAAAAATAGGGTGGCTTAACTATTCATGAGATTATTAGCAACAAGGGACTTGTTGCTAAAAATAAAATGCTACACTATTCACAAAAGTATCAACAACAAGGGCATGTTGCTGAAAAGGATGCCACAATTCTAGTGGCTGGATTCAGTGAGTATTTTTAGCAACATGAGTCATGTAGATGAAATCATACTTTCAACAAGGAGTATGTTGCTGAAAAGGGTGCAAAATTCCAATGACGAGCTTTGGTGACTTTTTTAGCAACATGAACCACTTCGGTGAAACTCCACTTTCAACAACAAGGGGTATGTTGCTGAAAATGGTGTCATGAATTAGCAACATGAAGCTTGTTGCTAATGTATTACTGACCAAAGCTACTCCAACAAAGACATCAGCAACATGGTTCTTGTTGCTAAATACTTTCAGCAACATGGGGAGCAGTTTCACCGACATGCTACCATGTTGCTAAAAATTAGAGTTTTAGTAGTGAATATGCAAATTTAAAAACTTTACAAATGAGTATTAAAATTAATTTTAAGAAATTTAACCCAAAGATATTGTAATATATAAATAACGGTATATAAAACTCACGTACCTCCAATTGTGGCTAATTACTTTAACAAAATCCTAAAATTTAATCTCCAAGATGCATTTCTTAGCATACATCATGTGTATGATAATATTCACAAAATGATTTCAAACCAAAATATAAAAAACATGTCATATCAATAATTTATTTGCAACTAACTATATATTTTTAACCTCTAAATATTGACATATATTTTATGTGTTACACTTAATATGTATTTTAATCTAGATAGAACAAATTAATATGCATATTTACTATGTGAACAATTATTTTAATTTACAAAATCAAAACACTTAACAAATATTCTTTATGCATATAATCATTAAATGAGATTATATTAATAGATATTTTTCACATAAGATCTACAATGCATTGTGTATAAATAACAATCCACAATTAAGATTAAAATGTTCAAAATTCCCAATGTTCAATTGCTACAAATTAGCTAAGTGTCGATACCCTCACTTTGTAGACTTGCACAATACCTTGTAATTGGTTATGTGTCGACACCTCACCCATTGTTGAAGAAACAATTCCATTTCGGACTTTTGGACCATTATGCAATAAATTAAATGCTAATTTTGGTCCCTCAATTTTAAGATTTTGCACAAATTTCATCCCTTAACTTTTTTGTGCATTTTTTTTTGTTTTTCAACTATGAAAAATGCATTTTTTTAGTCTTTTTGCTAATTAGTCCGTTAAATTTATCTAAACATGCACATTTTTAATCTCTAAACTTAAAGTTGAAGGACAAAAAATGTGCATATATTAGAAGTTAAAAATATGCATATATTAAAAGTTAAACGACTAAAAATATACATATTTCGACAAACTTAATGGTTTAACTGACGGAAGATTAAAAAAGTGCATTTTTAATAATTGAGGAACCAAAAAGTGTATAAAAAATTGAGAGACGAAAATTATGTAAAACCTTAAAGTTGAGGGATCAAAATTGCCATTTCACCTATGTAATATCTTGAATGTTAAAATAACAATATTGGTCCCTCAACTTCTATTTGCATTCTTTTTTAAGTTAATTGAATTCCTTAACAGATTGGGACACTCAATCCCAATCAACTCCTTTGCTTTACTTCCAATTGGGATTCTAGATCTCAAGCCATTTTTTTTAAATTTATTTTCTTTTAAATTGATTAATTTTAACAAAATGATAAGACATTAAACAATAGAAAAACTTAATAACATAACATAAGCTTACAAGTCCAACGAGACTCCATATCACATAATCATTTATGGAGATTAATTTACATACTTGAGAAAACAAAGAAATTAAATATAAGTTGTTTTTATGAGCTGAATTACTATTAATATCATTGATTTAAAAGTAATATATTAATTTTTAAAACTTTTAAATACATAGTTACACTAAATAAAAATATTAAAGGATTATATTAGAAAATTTCCTTTAATCATCTCTTACAATCGCAGTCTGTTTTGATCATAACCATAACCTATAGTTATCAGAAAGCCAATAAAGAGCACTCTACAACATAATATCTTAGATAACTTGAAAATCAGCCTCCCATTCCCATATCTATAACCTTATGAGGCCAAACTCTTAGATTTTATTTAATTCATATTATGAATTCAAACACTAATTAGCAATTTCTTCATTTATCGATCACCTCTGTAACCAAACCCATTTTTGGTTTTTTTTTTAATATATATATGTATACTGTAGGTGCTCCTAAAACCCATACTTGGCAAATCAATTTTGATTAACATTGATTAAAAATACATATTTAAGAGGAGAAAGATTGGATATATTGATGACTAAAAACTTTCCAAACTCTCATGAACCCACACACTGACGGCAATTTGAATGCACTCAAAGACTTGTAATAAATTCAATTGCCCATTAAAATAGATTATCTAAACTTGATTTAATCGGCTTATGCTAATAGTCAACCCAAACAACAATTAAATAGATAAAAGTTTGAAACTTATAATCAATTTCTCCTCAACATTGTATTTTTTGAATAAATTGTTTTAAATATATTAAAATTCTTTGAATCAATCACTAACAACAACCGAAATCAAAAGATTTCCTTTTTTTTTTTTAGTGATCCAAAACAATAAAATAGTATAAAACCCAACCTTGATCAATATACGTATGACTACTCTGATACCAAGATCAATATACATAGAATTTAGGATATTAAGATTCAATAAAATAAATAAATTACATATTTAAATCTTCATAATCAATATATTACCTAAGAATCATCATTGATCTTCAAAGATCATTATAATTTGAAATCTTATGATAAAACCTACAAAACAAATATAATTAGTATTGGATTTTGGTTTTTCTCTCTCTATTCAACTTCTATAGTAACAACGAATGGGTCATGCCACTTCTTAACTCTGCTATTTATAAAGATAAAGGTTTTTGAATGGGAAAAGAGACCGAACCTATTATAATAATCTTTTAAGTACCCCATCAAGTAGCCCACCTTTATTTCAAGCCCTACACTTACTTATATCACAGCATATAAAACTAAATTAAAATCTAAACACACTTGGATCACATAACTTTATTAGGCTTTACTAGTTTTCTATTTGTCCCAATTTTAAAAACCAAATACAATTAATGGAAGCCCATATAAAGTTTCCAACAAGTATCCCTATCAATAGGACAAGTAGGAGGAGGTGTCCCATATTTTAATGATCTCACTACTCAAGCAGCATTCGCTTGAATCCAACGAGGGATCTTTTTTTCATGTGCGGCTGGAAACAGTGGCCTGCGTACTGTTGACAACACTGCACCATGGCTCATGACAGTGGCTGCAAGCTACACTAATAGGAGCTTCCCTGCAATTGTCAAGCTTGGAAATGGAAAAAATTTTGAAGGTATATCTTTGTACTCTGGCAAATCATTAAAAGAACTGCCAATTGTGTATGGACCAACTACAGGGAAAAACTTTGCTCAATATTGCATTCTACGGACACTCAGCCCAAAGCTTGTCAAAGGAAAGGTGGTTGTTTGTGAACAGGGAAGAGTATCATTTGCCCAAATAACAAAGTGAAATCGAAACGAGGAGCTGGCACAATCATCTTACTCTCTGAGTGTAAATATCTTTTTGCTATTTGTTACATGTCTCTCGCAACTTCTATGGGACACATGGCAGGAAATGCCATATTACGTTATTTGAACTCCACAAAATCACCTACAGCTTCACTAACTTTCAAAGGAACTGCTTATGGAAAGCGTGCACCAATAATGGTTGCGTTTTCATCAAGAGGGCCAAATCCAATTGGTCCCAACCTGCTCAAACTGGACTTGACTGCACCAGGAGTGAACATATTAGCAGCATGGCCAGGTATAAGTAGCCTAACTAAGGGGAAGAGTGACAAAGGAAGGGTTTTGTTCAATATGGACTGAGGGACTCCTATGGCTTGCCCTCATGTTAGTGGCCTAGCAGCATTGCTTATATCAAGCCACAAAGAATCATCGCCAACGGCAGTTAAGTCAGCCATGATGACAACCACTTATAACCTCGATAATAGAAGGAGTCCAATTAAGGATGGTTATCATGGTGGCGTTGCAACAACTTTTGCAATTGGTTCTGGCCATGTTGATATTCAGAGAGCTTCTGATCCAGGATTACTATTTGACATCCACCCTCTTGAGTATTTACATTACTTGTGCAACCTCAAGTATAGTTCTTCTCATTAGATAGCCAGATTTGATCGAAATTTCAAATGCCCCAAAAGAGGAGCCATGCAATCTGGAAAGCTGAACTACCGTTCCTTTGCAGTGCTTTTCAAGAGTGATGCCCATAATGTTACCATTACCTATAGAAGAACTAGCACAAATGTTGGAAACCCTCCAGTAGGTACTTATAAAGTGCAAGTACAAGAACCCAAAGGAATATCAGTCAGGGTGAAGCCTAGCATTTTAAGTTTTAAGACACATAGTCAGAAATTGCGGTACAAAGTGAGTTTCACTACGTTAAGATAAATCATTGAATCTGAGAACTCATGTTTTGGATCTCTAACATGGGTGTCTGGGAAACACATAGTTCGAAGTCCCATTGCAGTAACTTGGATATAGAGAGTGCCCTGTGCATATCATATGTGAAAGCAGAGGATATAATCATGCACTGCTCAAGTTATATATTGTGTGTGTGCTATCACTATGTGTAATGTTTGATGGAAAAAATAATTAAAGGCATATAAAATAAAATGCCTTTTTTCTACTTTGGCTCAATTTTATCTTTCCAATGTGACCTCCTTGCTTGTTTCCGGTAATCCGGTTGGACCAATATATTACTACATTAGATTCCCCTTGAAGAAAAAGCTTAATTATGCAGCAGCAGAGATTTTCAGAAGAATGTCTTGTTTTTTTGGCTTTTTTTTGTTACTATGCACTGAATCCACCAACAAAAGTAGACCTAGAAAATAATAAAAATCACTACTACTATTTTCTCCAACACTTTATCCTTTTCATGATTTGAATCCACCAACAAAAGTAGACCTAGAAAATTATAACAATCACTGCTATTATTTTCTCCTACACTTTATCCTTTTCATGATTTAAAGAATTGTTGAACACCATAGAAAGTGGAAATGAAATAGACCTAGTACCACGTACTGAATCCACCAACAAAAGGTGAGACCTTTATATCGTTAAAAATGGACAAAGTAAAGATTCCCATATGATGTTTCCTAAGAAGTGGAACGAGGGATAAGCAAGCTTTAATAGTAGGCAAAGTTTGACCTGTCATGTTTAAAATCACTAATAGGCTTACAACTCCCATGGGTGCTATCTCCTAATTTAAATTAAGCAATCAACTTTCCTTCAATATATATTGAAGTGCAATTATTGTATAAAGTTTGGCCATGGCTTCGTCTGATTTCAAATGCTAATGTAAGATCATGCAGTGGCCCATATATAGTAACCATTCACACAAATTTTTTTTTCTTTTTAACTTAGAGAATTTTTAGAAATAAAAAATTAATAATTTCTAAATATAAAACTTAAAACTTTATATTTTAACACTCTTCTATAAAAAAAGATATAATTACTAGGGCACTTAATGCTCCACACCACTTACCCTATTGGAGCACGCACTTTTGGAGAAAAGAGACTGGTGGGGGCACCCGCAACCTTGGATTGGGTGCTTTGGATGCTGCTATGGATGGGGTGCATCATTCCCTGGCCAAGACGTGGGATCAAGCCCCATTACCCAATTTTTGGAAAAAAAAAAAAAAAGAAGAAGAAGACAAGTAGGGAAGACACTTGGTTTTATCAGTTTTGTTGTTTGTATAGCATGTAACACAAAGAGCTCATGATTACACCATCCTTTGCCTATATAAGATCCTCCATGTGTTTTGTTCGGTTGCCCCTGCATATTATTTTCTATGCATTTAAGCCAAGTTGATAATTTATCATAGCAGATAATTACTTGTTTTATTTTTTTCATATTTTTCATGTTTACAGTCATCTTGATACACACAACATTGCAAAGATAAAATAATATAAACAACAAATTTTTGAGTGATGAAGGTTTGGAAAATTGTTTATTCGTTGATTATTAAAGATAACAAAAATAGATCCATTATTGTAAATGAATTTAAAGTAATTTTTAGTAATTTTTATTTATTGGATTTTTTATAAATCCTGAATAGTTTTTTTTTAAGAGTTTGAATAATTTTATGTGGTATTATAATTAATATATTATTTTTATTTTTATTTTATTTTAAGTTACATAATAAAAAATAATTTTTGATTTTTAATTTATTCTATTTACATATTATGTTACTTGAATTTATGTTTTTAATATAAAATTATTAATAAATTATTTAAAAATTTAAAAATTTATTATTTTTAATTAAGATTAAAAACAAATTTAAAAGTAATTAATTAAGTGTCTCGAGATTGTAAAAGAAAAAATGGTACTATACGGGCAAAATAAATAAAGAACGAATTTTTGGGTGAAGATAATTTGAATATATATGAATTTATTTATTTTTTATTTTTAAGGTATAGGTTAAAATGTATTAAATATATTATAAAATAATATTTTATAATATATTTTTATAAAAATTAATTATCATAAAAGCCAACTCCTGGGTATTCATGTAAAGGAAGAATGGTTGCAGAAAATGGCTTGGGTACTCAATTGTAAAACCAGTGAAATGCCCTTTAAATACTTGGGAGTTCTGATGGGTGAAAAGCACAAAAGACTTAGCAAGTGGCTGCCATTAATTGAATCCTTCCAAAAGAAGTTGATGAATTGGAAGGCTCATTGGTTAACCTTTGGTGGTAGAATTACCCTCCTCAACTTTGTGCTCATGTCACTCCCAGTGTTCTTTTTGTTTGTCTACCTCACACCTAAAGGTATTGTTAAAGCTCTTGATAAAATTAGGAATAAATTATTGTGGGAAGGCTATGAGGAGACTAGGAAAATCCATTGGGTCAGCTGGAAGATGGTCTACAAAAGTAAATGGGATAGGGGACTTGGGGTTAAGGAGCTTAGACTTTTTAATTTGGCACTACTTGGAAAATGGTGGGTAGATTGGCTAAGGGTCATTTTGGGTTGTTTATAAGCCTAATTAAAGAAAAATATGGGTTTGAGGGTGGAAATTGGTGCAATTGGGTAAAAGAAGGGAAGAGTGCAGGGTCTAATTAGTGGAAGGATTTGTGTAGGTTAGATGTTTTAGAGGAGAATAGGAGGGGATGGTTGTGAAATGGTTTCCATATAAAGATTGGTGATGGAGAGAAAGTTAGCTTTTGGAATGATTCATGGAGTAGTGTTGGAGTGCTTGCTAATATTTTTCTGAGCCTATATTTGCTTTCTACAAGGAAAGACAACACAATCCAACAAATGGGTAGATGGTAAGGCAACAAATGGTCTTGGATTCTTCCTTGGAGATGAGCCCCTCTCTCTTGGGAGCAGGAATCTATGCAAGAATTCATAAGCCTCCTTAACGAGATCAACTTAACCAAAGGAAAGGAAGATACCTGGACTTGGGAACCAGATAAATTGGGTGAATATTTTGCAAGCTTGGGTTATACTACTTTGGTCAATAATAGCCATCACCACATCGACATGTCTTCAAGAAGATTTGGAACCCCCTTATTCTTCCAAGCAAAGTCTGTGGGTTCACTTGGCTACTTCTACTCAACAAGATTCCCTCAAAAACTAACTTGCTACAAAAGGGATTAATTAAGGAGGTTGAGGATGCTAATTGTAGTCTGCGTGGCCAGAATGTAGAAAACAAAAACCAGCTTTTTCTCCATTGTTCGATTGCTTCAAAATTTTGGGCAATGTGCTTCAAATGGGGGGGGTATAAGGACTGCCATTGCTCGTTCATGCTAGGATTCTTTCATTCAATAGGAATACCTAGTCACTAATGGCAGTGAGCGACTAGGTTGGGTTGCAATCTAGTTCTCTCTTATCTAGACCATCTGGACTGTCAGGAATGGTATAATCTTTAGAGGTGGATCGGTAGATTTACTTAAGATTTTTTATCAAATTCAAATTCAAGCTTTCCTTTGGATCAATTATAAGGGAAAGGAAAGACAATTTTTTTCTGACTGGATCCTCGACCCCAAGTACTGCAAGATTTTGTAAATGAGCCTCTAAATGCTATGTGCACTTGTTTCAGTAGGGGTTGATTATGTATATAGGTTGAGTATCCCCTGTACTCACTTAAGATAATAAAATCCTTTGCTTTTCAAAAAAAAAAAATGAAAAAGGTGAACGAACCGATAATTTTAGATGCCATGTCCGTTTGGTTTTCTATCGGCTTGGGACTTGTTGGTCCCTCTAGCATTATTTGTGAGACAATACATGCGGCCTCTCGAGGATAAAAGTAATCTAAGCAACAAATTTTTTTTGAGTGAGGAAAGTTTGGATATTTATCTATTTGTTTCTGTTCTTGTATTTGGTTATATATATATATATATATAAGGATGATAAAGATAATAGTTTGACTTGATTGATTACTAAAGATAGCAAAAAAGTATATGCATTATTGTAGATGAGATTAGGATAAAAAGTAATTTTTGTTGAATTGTCTACAAGTTGCAAATTGTCCTATGGAGAATTTAGATAATGGTTTATTAATGAGATTAAAAGTTAGTTTAAAAGCAGGTAATTATTGATCCTATCTAAAAATGACAAAATAAAAAATGAAACAATACACTACTTAAAGATAAAAATAATGTAAATAACTAGCCTTAGCAATAAGCCCTTGAATCCTAATATCGAAGTAAATTAGCCCCTTTGCCAACGGATCTCCGTGATGCCATGCGTCATTGGCTTGTGTGGCATTGTCTTTACACATTGCATCTAATGCAAAGAAGTAAATACCGTACCGTACCAGTCGGTATGGTCGGTATGTACCGGTTTTTAGAGTAGACCGAAACGGAGTAAGAATGAATTTCGTTTCAATCAAAATTCGGTGATTTCAGTCAAATTTCGGTGTATCGGTCGAAATTTCGACGTATCGGCCGAAATTTTGACATATCGGCCGGTA